AGTCTCTCCTTGTAATTCTTTCCACTTTTGCTTTATGTTTTTTGAGACCATGTTGTCATGTGCATAACAGCTCAGGATTATTATATCTTTAGGGTAAAATTAAATCTCTAATTATTATGTAATGACCATCTTTATCACTAATAAAGAAAATATATTTTTTATATCAAGATATTTATTTGGGGTTTCTGTTGGCTAGCTATTTGCTCTGTATGTTTTTTCTATTCCTTCACTTTCAGCATTTCTATTACGTTATGTTTTGAGTGTATTTCTTGCAAAAGTTTTTTGAATATCTGAAAATTTCTGTCTTTTATTTGATGTTATGGCCACTGATATGATTAGAGATGTATAAGGATTTTTCTTTTTTCTTTTCCCCCGTACTTACTGTGCTTTTTTATGGCTTTGTTTCCTTCTTTCTTTCTTTTTATTGGCTTGATCAAATCTTTATTTCTTTTTCCGTTACACATTTTATAGATTCCATCCCACTCTTTCTGCATATACTCAAAATTCTAAAACATGTGTAATTAACTTAAAATCTTCCTCAGTTAATTAGCAGCTCTACTTACATACCCCAAATGATGAGAACCGTAGAATGCTTTAACATTTTTAAGCCCCTCCAATCTCCCATGCCATTTTTTCAATTTGTTTTTAAGTCCCCTGAAATTAGTCATCTTATTGTCTTATGCAGACAGAGCTTGATTAGATCAAACCCTGTTGCCAATTTCTTGCTCAACATGGCTTCTTGAATCCTGTTCTTTCCCAGTAGGTTCAAAATGCTTCCTACAGATATATATATCCCATTGTATTTCTCTGAGTGAGGATCTGTGAGTGAACACTCTTGGCATTTGTCTGGAAAATATCTTTACTTCATCCTCACTCTTGAATGGTAATTAGCTGGGTATAGAAGTTAGGTTGGCAGTAATTTTCTCTGAGCACTTTGCTGAAATTTTTCCATAATCTACTAGCTTCTTTTTGTTGAAGAGAACTGTTTTCATCGTAATTGCTGTCCTTTTGTAAAAATAACCTGTTGGGGTTTTTTTGGTCTTGGGGTTTTTTTGTCTGTTTGTTTTTTGGGTTTTTTTTTTGTTGTTTTTCTTTTTGTTTTAGGATTTTGCTTGTCCTTTGGTATTCTGCAGTTTCTATATAATCTATATAGGTTAGATTATTTTTTAATTTACCAGGTTTGAGACTCACTTAGCTTTTCTGAATCTGAAAATGTGCTTTTACTAATTCTAGAAAGATCTCAACTGTTTCTCTTTTTGACTTTGCTATATGACATAAAGCGCAGCACCTCTCAGGTTTTCAAGATCATCACTCCTTCACTTCCTTCTCTTCTTCATTTCCAGTCTCTTGTACATATTGCATCAATTCCATCCACAAGTGAACATGCCCTAATATCTCCCATCGTTTATTAAAAAAAATAAAGTTCTCCCTTATCTCCATATCTCCCTGGAGCTATTTCATTGCTCTGCTGGACATCATAGCCAAATTTCTTGACAAATTTGCCTACACATTTCTCCACTTCCATACCTCCCATTTATTCTTCATGTCACTTAAATATGACTTCTGACGTCACCGATCCAAAGAGACTGTGCTTGCCAAGGTTACTAATAACTTCATGTGTCTGAATCAGTGTTCAGTCCTCATTTAACTGGACCTCTTCCCAGAATCGAACAAGGTTGACTACTCCTTCCCTAAAATACTCTTTACCTTTTGGCTTCTAAAGCACTTGACTCTTGCTTCTAAGTGTTGGAGCACAGAGGACTTGGGTTGAGCTCTATTTTCTTCATTTTCTACCCTCTATCCCTAATAGTTTTTATCCATTTACACAATTTTAAGTACCATTTATTCATCAGGGGTGGCCAAATGTGTACCTCCAACCCTCTCTCCTCCTCTGAGATGTTGAATTTTATGTGAATTCCTGCTTGAGCTCAACACATTTAAGTTTAAACTGACCAGAGCTGAATTCTTGAATTTTTCCCCCAAATAGTGTCTTCCTTATCTCAGCAAATGTCATCACCATCCACCTGTTTCTAAAGCTAGAATCTAGAAGTCATTCTTCATTCCTTTTTCCCTCAAAGATCCACATTTATTCTATTATAAAGTCTTATGAATTCTGTCTTAAAAATATGCCTCTCTTTGGGGCGCCTGGGTGGCTCAGTCGTTGAGCGTCTGCCTTCGGCCCAGGTCATGATCCCAGGGTCCTGGGATCGAGTCCCACATTGGGCTCCCTCCTCCGCGGGAAGCCTGCTTCTCCCTCTCCCGCTCCCCCCACTTGTGTTCCCTCTCTCGCTGTGTCTCTCTCTGTCAGATAAATAAAATCTTAAAAAAAAAGAAAAAATATGCCTCTCTTTAAAAAAAAAAGAGGGAGGCGGCGCCTGGGTGACTTAGTTGGTTAAGCGACTGCCTTCGGCTCAGGTCATGATCCTGGGGTCCTGGGATCGAGTCCCACATCAGGATCCCCCTGCTCTGCGAGGAGGCTGCTTCTCCCTCTGCCTCTGCCTGCCACTCCCCCTGCTTGTGCTCTCTCTTTCTGTGTCAAATAAATAAATAAAATCTTTAAAAAAAAAATGCCTCAAATCCATCCACTTCCCATCTCCAACTCCAGCCCCCTAATCTTGGCCTCTATCCTTTCTCAACCAGAAACTACTAACTAGTTTCCGAATCTCCTTCACGATGAATACTCTCCCATCTGTTTTCAACATGGTGATCAGAATGTCTTTTTTTTTTTAATCATCTTCCTACTTAATATCCTTCAAGAGCTTCTTATTGGACCTAGATTAAAAGAAAATCTATGCTCATTAATAAAACCTTCAAGGCCCTTTCCTACCTCCAACCTCAGCCAGGTTCTCTCCCCTCACTCTGGTGTTCTGGCCCCCCTGGCCTTCTCATTCCTCAGTCACACCAAACTCTTTTGCTCCTACAGGACCTCTGTAGATTCCTTCTGCCCGGAATGCTCTCCAACCCTGCCTCTACCAGATTGGCTCTTCCCCTCCTTCAAGCAGCATGAAGTCACTTTCCAAGAGAAGCTTTTCTGACCACTGTGGATAACACTGGGGCCTCTCTTAAGTCTCTCTAGTAGCAAACTTTTTTTTTCTTTTATATCCCTTTCCACACACTTTTTTCCTCTTTTGGAGTTGTATGATTTGATTTGATTTGATTGATCTTGTGATTTCAACAGTATATTAACCATCAACTTTGTTGCCATAATTAGCTAGCACCATCCCTTTAGTGCCTTTCTAGTAAAATAATATTAAGAAACCTTTGATTGCTAAATTTAGAAAATCTTCAACTACCGACAGAACCCCTTACTGAGGGATTCTTTAAGGACCACGTTTAATCTGAGCAGGCCTCTAAATGAACCCTCGCATCTTGGCTCTGTGCGAGTACAAGAGCTCCCTGGGATAGATTCTCTGCATTCCTACAAGGCGCTTTGTCGTATCTAAGCGCCGCTTCCTTACAGCACAATTACCCATTTTTAGTAAAAACAATTCTGAGAGGTTTTTTTTTTTTTTTCCATTGTTTTTCAAAGCAGAAATAGTATACTGGACAGTTTGCATGTGACAAACTAAAAAACCAAAACTTAGTTCAGTTGTGTAGAAACCATGGTATAAGTTGTTCTTTTTGATTTTTTAACTTGCTCACTCTGTCGGCCTTTACAAATCTATAAGTTCCAGGAGGAGGGAACCAGGTCTGTTTTGTCTGCCACTTCATGTATATACAATTAGTGGCCTATATAAATAAAGACCTCAAAGTGATGCTTTTTTTAAGTAGCGCTCTGATGAGCATCTTCCCAAATTGTACCCATAGTTGTGATCCTCGTATTTTTTGTGTTAATTAAAACTAGCATTCTGAGTCACTGAAGTCTACTCTGAAGCTAAAAATACACTGTATGTTAAGGAATTGAATCTAAGTTAAAAAAATTAAAATTTTAAAAAAATAGCAGACTGGCCTCCCAGTCTGTTAAAAAAGATAATGTTGTCTGTATTTCTTTTATTTGTTAATGGAGGCTTCAAACTTTGAAAGTCCTTAGTAATGTCTTATAATATTTTAATTTTGTAAAAATTCAGAACATTGTCACATGGGTTTGTATGTCTCCAAGTAGACTGCCCGTGGTAGTTTTGGGCTTACAGTGGCCACATTTGCTTTCAAGGAATCTCCTAGTTCTGTGTCTTGAAGCTCACTGGTGCCAGGGAACATGTATTTTTGTTTTGTTTTGTTTTTGTTTTAAATCATGACTTAATACATGGCCCAGTCATAAGGGGACCCGTACCTGAAGAGAGATAAAGCCATCCTTACTTCATGATATTCAAAATATTTAACTGGCTGGGACACCAAACAATGAGACTCGCATCTGGGCCAATCAGAAAGGACTTGCAAGTTTCACACGCATAGGCCTCACCTGGCATGCTGAATCCGGACCCTGTCTCTGGGGAAGGCAACTCTCTAGACCCTATCAGTAGACTTCATGTCAGCCAACTCCCTCACTCTTTTTAAATGCCTGTTTTTTTGGGTTTTAGGTTTGTTTTTGTTGTTGGGTTTTTTTTGTTTTTTGTTTTTTGGAAGTGGCTCGAAGCCTTGGAACCTGCTAATTTTCCTATAATCATGTCTTATTTATACCTGTCTGGATATTCTACACATGGAGCAACTTTGGTCAAAAGGATGCAATAATTGAGTTCTGCCTTCCAGAACTTGCAGAGCTAAATGCAGGTTATGGTGACCCGCCCAGGCTATCTTGGGTTTGTCCACACAGTGCCTTGTTTGGGGTGGTGAGAGTCTCATTCCTTAGCTGATGGCATGGCCCTATAATCTTACTGTTGCTCCACATTCCTTTCTGACTCTGGCCTGGGGCATGGTGGATTGGTAGAGGATTTTCAGAGATCAAAGCATATCTCTGTTTTCTCCGGTCTGTTTGTAACTCCACCTCACTGGAAAGAAAAGGCCCAGTGAGGGATGCTCACTCCCACTGAAGTCTTTGTTTCTTGACATCATCTATGTGTTTCATGTCTAAGGCCACCTCCCTTCAAATAACTGAATTTTCTGACATTTTTCTTCTTTTTGGATCACAGGTCCACACATTCCGAGGCCCGCACTGGTGTGAATACTGTGCCAACTTTATGTGGGGGCTCATCGCCCAAGGGGTTCGGTGCTCAGGTAGACACAGAACTTTCTTCATCCTTTTCCATTTATATAAAGTGACATAATGTTGAGCTGGAGATCATTTCTCCAGAGTTGGGAAATAGATCCAGATTAGCTCAAAAGTCTAGCTTTCTGAAAGGTTCAAGTCATCTTCTCTGCTTAATGGAGAGGCTGTTCTAGGTGTCTGCTGGAATGAAAAGGAATATCATGTTTATGCAAGAAGAGAAAAAAAATCCAAGCAAGTACATTTCCTTATGCACCTACCTGCCACCCAAAAGAGGCAGCAGTCCTTAAAAGAAAAAGAAATCAATTCCAATGGAACGGCAAAGATAGAAAAACCACATTTCTTTCCCATCCCCCACTTTACCACAAAAGGCAAGGCATGAAAATAGAAATACTGGTGAACCTTTGCCACACACCAGGCATTGAGCTAAGCACTTTCTATTTATCATGCCATTTAGTCTCACCAACAGACCTTAAAGACATGCAATTATTCTCCCCACTGAACAGATGAAGAAACTGAGGCTTAGAGGTAGTTGTTAGTAACTCTTGGCCACATAGTGGTAAGTGGTAGAAAATTGATTCAGCTCCAGAACACATGCTTAGAACTTCTCTGCTATCAGATTAGCTGTGCAACTAAAGACCTTGATTGGATATCACATATTTTCAAAGCACTTCGAAACCTTAGGTGTTTTTCCACCTAGAACTGGATGCCCACACCCAGGGCTAACAGCACATAACACATCTTACTAAAATACAGCTAACAAAAGAGCAAAGAATTGCCAAACTAATGTGTAACTGGGCTTCTTAATTCATCTCACCACACTTTTTCTGGCAAGCAGTCCTGGCCAGGAGCAAGAATAGCCTCCTGTGGTATACTGATCAGGTTTCTACCAACACCATGACTGATTTCTTCCTTGCTACTAGAATATGGTTTTTTAAAAAAATTCTTAGGAAGCATTTAAAATAAAATAAGCTAATGACATTACATTAAGATAATCTACTTCACCATAATGCCCATTTTGGTTCACAGGACTGTGGGACCTTAAATCCTTTCTCTTCTCAGAAGGGGCTACCTTAGCTTCCACTGGGTAGATACAGCAATCGGTGGTGGTACCTGGATGGGTCAAGTAGTGCTTGTGTATGTGGTTTAAAGCTACCTGCCCCCATCACAGATCCATGAGACAAGCAGCAAACAGGCTCAGAGGCAGCCTGTCCAGGAATGTTCCAGATACTCCAATTAACACAAAAGACTTACTCACCTGGGAGTTACAAAGCATCTCACGGCTCAACGACTGAGTAAAGCAGTAGACTATCTGAATCACCCAGTGGTCATTAATTCAGTCTGTCCAGATTATACCTACTAGAAATATCCTAATTGCTGGTGTTATCCAATTTGAGTAGCAAATCGGTCCAAAGTCAATATTATGAGAACAAAACTCTGGAATTTACATTAGCTGTGAATAGCAATTTTCTCTGGGATAAAAAGGTTTTTGTTTTTTCCGTTTTTTTTAATAAAACATATTCTGAGGTTATGTTAATATTCTCCAATGGCAACTGTTTGGCCTCATATTTCTTCTGAGCAGCAGGAAAATTGAAACCTGATCATTAAAGGTTAGGAATAGCCATCGCTGCCTCTCAACTCTCTGTATTTTACATATTTTAACTATTTTTTAAATGAATAGTCTTTATTTATAGCATATGGAATTGGAGTAGTTTGCACATATTGAATAATTTTATATATTATAAAACATTTTAATTTTAATAAAATGTCAGTATTTAACTCTACAGAAACACACTGTCACTTCAGATCTTCGAATGAAGTTTATAAGGAAATTTAAAATAGAATTATCACATAATCCAGCAATTCCACTTCTGGGTCTATACCCAAAAGAACTGAAAGCAGGCACTGAAACAGATATTTGTACACCTGTATTTATAACAGCATTATTCACAAGAGCCAAAAGCTAGAAGCAACCCGAGTGTCCATCAATAGATAAACAAAATGTGGTATATCAATACTGTGGGATACCATCCAGCCTTAAAAAGGAAGGAAATCCTGTCATATCCTGTAATATTAATGAACCTTAAGGACATCATAACAAGTGAAATAAGCCAGTCACAAAAGGACAAATGCTAGTGATTCCACTTATATGAGATATCTACAGGAGTCAAATTCGTAGGAATAGAAAGTAGAATGTGGTTGCCAGGGGCGAGAGGGAGGAGGGTCTGGGGAGTTATTGTTTAATGACTGGAGTTTCAGTTTTGGAAGATGAAGGTTCTGGAGATGGATGGTGGTGACAGTTGCACACACGTGAAGGTACTTAATGCCTCTGAACTGTACACTGAGAAATGGTTAAAATGGTGAATTTTGTTATGTATATTTGATCACAACTTTAAAAAATTATTTTAAATGAAGTTTATAAGAATGTAGTAAAACTTACTAGTGAAATAACGAGAAGAGCTGGCCGGGTATCCTTATATTTTCTCACATATTTGCTGTTTGTTTTATTTTACTTGCATGTAGTTTTCACCACACTTCAGAGTTTAGAGACTAATTTAGTTGATCCTTATGATAATCCTAGGAGTAGATGCTATTATCATCCTTATTTTATAAAAGAGGATCCAAACAAGAAAACAAACCAGTTCTATTTGGTTCAGTTTGCCCAAATTTACAACTACAAATTGATCTATCAAAATACTTTTGAAGTTTACTTGAGCTTTGTTGAATTTCTCATGTTGATAAAGCCCAGATGATTTAGAACTGGTTTTTTCTTTGTAAGGAGGGTAGGCAGAGAGAACTCAGCCTAAAAATTACATGAAAATCATAGAATGATTTTCAAAAATCATTTTTGATGATTTTATAAAAGTTTAGATTTTCTCAAATCCTTGATGTGGTTAAGTGCTTTTTTGTTAAACAGCTGATTACGATATTCATTATTATATGTGTATTATATATATATATGTTTTGAATAGACAGTACATCAACTTTGAACAGCTTAAGCATTAAATTTTTATTTTCCAAAATCTAGACTGTGTCTTGTTATTTTTTTTTTAAGATTTTATTTATTTATTTGAGAGAGAGAGAATGAGAGACAGATAGCAAGAGAGGGAAGAGGGTCGGAGGGAGAAGCAGACCCCCAGCTGAGCAGGGAGCCCAATGTGGGACTCGATCCAGGGACTCCAGGATCATGACCTGAGCCGAAGGCAGTCGCTTAACCAACTGAGCCACCCAGGCGCCCTAGACTGTGTCTTGTTATTGTTAGAGAAATTCTGTCAGTGAATACCAACTGCTAACAAGGCTTTTAATGTGTTCATTGAACTTAAAAGTACGTTGTAAGCTTTGGATCTTGATATGAGCTTTAGAAATAATTGCTCTAATCACCACATTACATGGCATTGTCCTAAATTGTAAACTCTCAGGTACTCCCACCAGTATCTCGTTAGACATTATTTCCACTCACAGGTGTCAAAATAAGGCAAGTAGAAAGAAAAAATGGTCCACCCAAACTGCCCAACAAGGGGAAGGTCCTGGAAACTATGGGCAACTCTCCAGGAAAAGGGAAGAAGATGCCAATGGTCATGGGTCCCTCAGACCAAAGATTAAAGATTCCTACAGAGAGAGTAATCGTGTCTTCCACTAAAGGAGAATCCAGGACTTTAGAAAAACAACCTAGCAAAAGTCTTAGGTACCCTTTATGAGCCAAGACTAGCTCTGGGAATCCAAACCCAAATATCCACATGTGGACCAAAGGTTCCAAGTCCCGAAAGAGGGAAAAAAAAAAAAACAAAACCCTACAAACAACCTAGCTAATCACCAAAACTATCTCAGAGAAATGTTCTATTCTTATAGTCCAGCAACAGAAAAAGCTAAATGAGCAAAAGGGAATTATTTAAGTTTTGTGAGTAAAGATGGATTTCATACTCAGCTTGTGGAGAGTATCACCTCTAAATGGGAGAGATGTTCCAGAAAGATACAGCAAACCCTTGGGTGTTTTCAGTTTTATTTTTGGTAACATATAATTTGGGTTGGGCTTTTACAAAAGGGCCGGGCAAGGCTAATGTGGCTTCTTTGTTTACAGACTGTGGATTGAACGTACACAAACAGTGTTCCAAGCACGTTCCCAATGATTGTCAACCTGATCTCAAGAGGATCAAGAAGGTGTACTGTTGTGACCTCACAACACTTGTAAAGGCTCACAACACTCAGAGACCCATGGTGGTAGACATATGCATACGGGAAATTGAAGCAAGAGGTTTGGAAAAGACTCCTTATTTTAGTGATTTTGTTTTTATTGTTTGTTCTTACTGTTGTCAAGGAAACTTTCTTATAATTGCTAAATTGACTCTCTCTCCACTATCGATGTTGGGGAAACATTCTGACCCAGAGCACACACACACACACACACACACACACACACACACACACATAAGCTAAGTCCAGCCAACTACATTAGTTTCTGTTTTGTACCTAAACCTTGCATGTATGCATCCAACACATGTTTGCTAAGCATTTATTATGTGTTACACATTGAGGATATGAAAGTCACAGTTCTTACCTTCCAGAAATTCATATTGCAGTATGCAGAATCAGAGGGGTAAATAAATAAATGTTATGGGTATGTGTGTTCAAAACACCATGGAGTCACAGAGGAAGACATTTTAATGTTATTTGAGGACAATAGAGTTTATGGCAGAGACGAGGTTTGAATTGAGTCTTTAAAAAAAAATTTTATTTATTTATTTGACAGAGAGAGACACAGAGAGAGAGGGAACACAAGCAGGGGGAGTGGGAGAGGGAGAAGCGATACGGGGCTCGATCCCAGGACCCCGGGATCATGACCTGAGCCAAAGGCAGACGCCCAACGACTGAGCCACCCAGGTACCCCTGAATTGAGTCTTAAAAAGTGATCCCATTAAATAAGATAAAGAAACTGCTGGTCAATACATACATTTTCTACCATAGAGAAATTCACTGCTAGTATTGGTTCTGTTTATTTCAAAGAGGAGAGTTAAAAGATTAAAAAGATCTATGCAATGAAAAATCAAGAAGGCACAGAAGAGGGGCACCTGAGTGGCTCAGTCGGTTAAGCATCCGACTCTTGATTTCAGCCCAGGTCGTGATCTTGGGGACGTGGGATCAAGCCCTGCATTAGGCTCCGCTCAGTAGGGAGTCTGCTTGAGATTCTCTCTCTCCCTCTCCCTCTCCCTCTGCCCCTCCCAACCACATACTCTCTCTCTCTCTCTCAAGTAAATAACTAAATCTTTTTTTTAAAGATTTATTCACTTTAGAGAGAGAGAGAGCGAGCAAGCAATCAGGGGGAGGGGCAGAAGGAGAGAGAGAATTCTGAAGCCAACTCTGTGCCAAGTGCGGAGCCTGATGTAGGACTCGATCCCAGGAGCCCGAGACCATGACCTGAGGCGAAATCAAGAGTTGGCAGCTCAACCAACTGAGCCATCCAGGAGCCCCAGTAAATAAATATTTTTAAAAAAGAAGAAGAAGGCGCAGAAAATAGAAACATTTCAATGAGAAGGTTCTTCATAGTAGGCTTGAGTCACCTTTCTTTTATCTGTGCTTTGTTTGGCTACTCTTCGGTATCAAAGTGTTCAGTGTTGTGGTGGATTGAGTCTGGTTGGGGAGAATTTGGATTGCTGGATATAACTTGGATAATTGGACCATGTATAAAGCCCAGAGGCTTTAACCATTTTTACCAGGTAGGTACTCTGCTATAGTTGGTATTCATTATTGTGTCCAAACTGCGTAATGTATGCTACAGATATTTATGCATTGGTTAACTATTCCATTCTTTCCAAAACAAAACAAAAGAGGACATTATAAGCTTGTTATCCCAAGCCTTTTAGAGATAGGAAATATTCCCTTTTCCGTGCAGGATGAAAACTAGAGCTATTCTGTTCCCTTAAGACTGTCTCATTTCATCTCAAATTGTAAGAAGAGCCTGCTGCCTTTGGACTGCTGTGCCTGACAGAGTTTGGTGGGCGCTTTGGGATCTGGTGAAGGTATTGCTGCAGGGGCTGAGCTGGGTAAGAGTTGAGAAGGGGTGCCCTGACTCCGGGTGAGTAGCTGGGAAAAGTATCCCTGGCTCCTGTTGTTTAGAGGGCTCTGCAATTTGGGGTCAGATCATCAGCCTTTCTGGAGCCTCAACTCAGGACCTCGGCTTCCCTGGAGAAGCTGCGACCATCCCACGGTGATCCTCATCGGAGGCGACTGATAACTCTGGCAAAGTTACCACCGTGTCTGATGTCTGCTGTGTCCATGGGGACCACAGCACAAAGCATGCCTAGTACAAGAGCTAGAATAGAGCAGAGCAGAAATTTTTGCCAGGGGAGTCAGAGCAAAGGGATTGGAGCTGCACATGTGAGCGGAATCAGAGAATGGGCTGGAAGAAATTCACATGACTCCTATCCCCAGCTTCATTGCCACCTCTGCCAAAGTCTTACCTCATCTTCCATCCCTGGCAAATTCCTTATTGTTCTGCAAAGGCTCTTTCATGGCCATTTGTTTCTGCATGATGTGGCAGAACGAAAAGATCACGGACGTGGAATTAGACTCCCAGCCCGGTCTCACACTCGCGGTGGCGTGACCTTGGCCAAGTTACCTGCTCTATTTGAATATGTTTCCTCACCCATAAAGTGAATGGAATCAGTCATAAGGTGGCTGCGAGGGTTAAAATGAGCTGATCCATATAAATGACCTAGCACGGGGCCCAACATATAGGACTCAGCCTATGTTATTCCTTTCGCCTTTTCTTGGAATGACCACCTAGCCTAACTCCACCTCCGAATGCGTCTGTCTGCCACCTGACTTCTCCCACTGACTTCAACCATTCACTCAGTGCTGTCACAGAGACCCCCAAACAATAGTGTCTGCAACAAGATAGAAATCTATTTCTCTCTCCAGTAATGGTCCAGACCCTGGGAGCAATCTAAGGCCAGGTGGGCAGGAACCCAGGCCCTGCAGCTTGTTGTTCTGCCATCCTCGAGAGCTGCCTTCTTCTGCATGGTCCCAAGTGGTGACCACCATCTCCTCTGAATTCCAACCAAGGGCAGAAAGGCATGCTCTTTCTCTTCAAGTCCACAACCCCAGCGCCGCGCTGGACACATCACTTCTGCTCTCTTCACATTAGCCAGAAGTTACTGGCCATGGCCATGGATGTTGTTCTGCAAGTCAGAGGTTCCACTGCAGCTGAGGAAGGGGAGAGCTGACATCGCAAGGAGAGCTGGAAGCCTCTGCTACTCTGGCAAACTCTAGTCCATCCTTCATGACTTCCTTCAAAGATGGCTCTTCAGTAAGGTCTTCCCCCTGGACCCTCCCACCAACAGACAGGCTGGGCTTGTGTTCACTGCCCAGTGCTCCCATGTGCCACTGTGTCCTTGCCTGTGTTGTGTGCAGGTCACAATCACAGTGAGGCACGCTTAACGTGTACTGCCGACTAGAAGAGGATGACTCCAGGTGTCCTCAGGTGGGCCGACCCAGTTGATCAGTATTGGCAGCCTGGGCAACTGTACGGAGACGAGTTCTGAGACTGAGTGGGGCTCGGTGGGGGACGGAGCCAAGTCCGTAAGAAAGGTCTCTGACAGTCCCAGGAGGAAGGGTGGCAGGACTTATGCGGTGCAGTTGTTGTCTCTGATGCAGACCCTTATGTACGGCAGGTAGCATATACTTGATCGATGGTTCCCAAATGAAGAACAGGAAAGTATGTCATCAAGAGCTTGACAAGAGTACCCTGCACCAGCTGTACCAGCTACTTGTTTGCTTGTTCTTGCCATAGCTGGAATTTGAGGGCAGCTCGTTTCTGACTTGGAAGGTCTGAAATCTGACCCTTTATCCCTTCTGATACCTTTGGGACCTGGCAAGGCCTTAGGACATATCTTAACAAATCCCTAAGATCTAGGAGCAGAAACCATATCTCTTTCTTAGCCCAAATATACAGGGATCAAGTTTCCAGAATCATCACTAAAATTTTATTTTTCCCTATCTGTATGATCATTTATTTGAAGGTATAACAATTAAATCAATCATATTTAAACATTGAACGTATCCTATTTATGATTAAACATAAAAGGCGGTAAAATTTAGATTGTTTCAATAAAAGCAGGATAATATGCAAGCATCCACGTACGTGTGTGTTCCTAGCACAGGGCTGCATGCAGCGTGGCACGTGGGCTAAGATGATGCTAGGGAGGAAGCAGGTTGCTGCCTGAAGCAGTGAAATCTCATCCAGCAGTCTAATGAACAAGGAAGCAGGAGACCGTGGTCGATGAGAATCTTAAACACAGGCTCACTTTGCGAAGCCAGGCAGGAAGACCAGATCCCCGAGGTCTCTACTGCAGCACAAGCAAATGAAGACAGACTTGCCTGGAAAACTGAGATGGACAAGCCCAGCTTCTGACAGGAGTGTGTGTAATATACAAGAGCACTGACTATATTTTGCTCATTTCCTGCTAGCACACAATGTAAATATGAAATTAGAGTCCTTTGTAGATGTTTCAGGAAGCTAAAGTCTGTCTCTTTGTTCAACAGGATTGAAGTCGGAAGGCCTTTACAGAGTCTCTGGGTTCACCGAACACATCGAAGATGTCAAAATGGCATTTGACAGAGGTGGGATTATGTTCTTTTGAAGGCCAGATGACCTATCCTTAGCATGCTTTCTCTTGGAACCAGATTTTATTCATAGTGGGGATGGGTTTCAGAGCTACTGAGAGCTGTTCCTCAGGAAGCCAAGGAATAATGGTTTACAAATCACATAGTTCTCTGCCTTTCTGGGGGAGGTATTCCCTTAAAAACTGTGGACAAGTGACCACATGGGGAAGTGAGTTTAAAATACTTCTTGAATAAAATACTTCTTTGATGCCATTATGATTCTTGATTTGGTTGCCCAACATTTACGGTTGGTCCACATGGCCCCAGAGTGTCCTACACCCCCACCTGAGGGTCTTAGTGACTCTTTTCCTTCCCCCAAAACTCCAAAGAAGAGAGCATAGGATGGGGGTATGCCAAGCACTGAAACAGGGGAAGCCAGTGGAAGTCTCGGAGGTGACTTCTTTTGTTATTTATAACTGTGACAAATGCTCTCTAGGTCATACTATCTCTTGGGTCAAAAAACTTTGGAGCTCCTTAAAAGTACAGATCTTCTGGGCCCACCCTGAGGACCCATTCAGAATGCTAAGTGAGCCCAAGAATCTGTATTTCTTTATTAATTTTTATTCAATGTATTTAAACAAAAAAACAGTTCACCCATTTTACCAACCCCTCACTGCTTGTCTCTTGCAACCACCAATCTGTTCTCTGTATCTATGAGCTTAGTTTTGTTTCGTTTTGTTTTAGATTCCATGTATAAGAGAGATCATATGGTATTTGTCTTTCTCTATCTGACTTATTTCATTTAGCGTAATTCCCTCAAGGTCCATCCATGTTGTTACAAATGGCAAGATTTCACTCTTTCTTATGGCTGAAGAATATTCCATTATATATATACTGCATCTCCTCTATATTCACCCATCGGTGGACAATTAGGTGGCTTCCATGTCTTGGCTTTTGTGACTAATGCTGCAGTGAACATGGGGGTGCACGTATCTTTCCGAATTAGTGTTTCTATTCTATATTTCTTTTTTTTTTTGTAGTTTTTAATTTTATTATATTATGTTAGTCACCATACAATACATCACTGGTTTTTGATGTAGTGATCCACGATCCATTGTTTTCGTATAACACCCAGTGCTCCATGAAGTATGTGC